AGATTTGGGAGCAACCATAACATTGATTTCCACAGTGGCTGTACAAGTTTGCACTCTCACCATCAGTGAATGAGTGTTCCCCTTATCCAAAATCCTCACCAGTATGAGCTGCCATTTGCTTTATTTATCTTGACCATCCTGACTACAGAAAGATGAAATCTCAAAAGAGTTTTAATTTGCATTTCCCCAATGGATAAAGATGTTGAACATTTCATGAAGTGTTTCTCCAGCCACTTGTGGTGCCTCTTTAAGAAGTCTGCTTAGTTCTAGACTCCATTTTCTAAAAACTGGGTTATTTATTTTCTTGATAAAACTTGATTCTTCAAGTTTTTTTCACTTCTTTATATAAAATAAATAATAAGCTCCTATCAGATGTATAATTGACAATGATCTTTTCCCATTCTGTAGGCTGCTGCTTTGACAGAATGATGGTGCCCTTTGCCATAAAGAAGCTTCTTAGCTTTATGAGGTCACGTTTGTTAATTGTTAGTGACTGTGGTATTGGTGTCCTGTGCTGCCAGTATCCTGTTCAGAAAGTACTTTCTGTGCCCATGGGTTCAAGCCTACTTTTCACTTTCTCTTTTATCAGACTATCTCTTCTATGGTCTTATGTTGATCCATTTAGATTTGAATTTCTGAAGGGTGATAAATATGGAACAATTTTCATTCTTCTACATGCAATCATTCATTTTGCATAGCACCATTTGTGGATGGGCCTTTTCTCCAGTGTATTTTAGCTTTTTATCCAAAATCAAGTGTTCATAGGTGTGGACATTTCTTTCTGGGTCTTCAAATCAATTCAGTTGATCATTGTGTCTGTTTTTATGCCAATACCATTTTAGTTTTATTAACATAGCTCTATAGAACAACTCAAAATCTGGGATGGTGATTCCTCCAGGAATTCTTTTATTATTCAGGATTGTTTTATCTCTCCTGCGTCTTTTTGCTTCCACATGAAGTTGAAGATTGTTTTCTCAATATTTGTGAAGAATTATGTTGAAATTGTATTGGGTATTACATTGAATCTGCAGGTTGATTTGGTAGAATGATCATTTTGAATATATTAATCCTATGGATACATGAACATGGAAGATCTTTCCTTCTTGTGGTGTCTTTTTCAATTTTCTTCAGTGTCAAACTTTTTCTTATTCAAGTCTCTTATTGCTTGATTAAAGTTATCCCAGGATGTTACTTTGTATTTATTTATTTTTTGACTGAGACTATTGCAAAAAGTATTTTGTGTGTATATGTGCACTTGAGTACAGGTGCCCAAAGATGCCAGAAGAAGGCATTTGACCACAGGAACCAGATTACAGGCCAATGTGAGCTGCCTGGTGTAGGTGCTGGACATTGAATTCAGGTCCACTGCAGGAGCAGCATACATTCTTAACTCTGAGCCCCAACTCTCCAGCCCAGCTATGAACATAGTTTCCTCTATATTTTGAACAAAAGGTTTTCAGGAAGGATGAATTGTCTTTCTTTTGTGTATTGTTGGGTGTACTGTGTACTGAGTACTGTGTACTGAGTACCTTAATATCTAATGCTTCCTTATGAGGGGCTCACCACTGTCTCATTGCCCTTCTTCCCCATCAAGGACCTCCCTTAAAGTATGTTAGTGGCCAAGGGAGTTTCAAATAACTTAGTCTCACCTCACCTGAGCCATTGCCTTTTTGTATTCTTAATGTTGAAACAAGGATTTCTGAAAAATAGTACCCTAGTTGCTTTCCTGTCCCCTAACACTCAGAGCCTTGAAGAAACTACACTCCAAAGTTTTTCAGTACAGAAACTCAGCTCTCAATATTAATTATTCCCTTTTTCTGTTTGACTTCAGTTCTGTCGGCCTTGAGACCACAGGCCGCTGCTGGAGGCTCTTCTCATCACTCTCAGCTGCCCCTGTCACATTGTCTCCTGAATAGGGGACCTTGTTCTGTTTCTGGAAAGAATTCTTCCTCCCCACCCCCTCTGCTTCAGGGGTTTTCAACTTTACTTATGATGCTAAGAGAACAGGCCTCTCTCTGAATTCATTAACCTTTGGCTTCAAAATGGCCTTGAAACCATAATGACTCCAAAGCAGCCAAGGGAATTCCTCAAACATGTTTCATTAAAGTGGAACAATTTAGACCCAAATTCTCCCTGGTTAACTCCCAAGTTGTAGAACAAAACTGCAGTATCCTAAATTTAAATTTGAAGAGAATCTAGGAAGTAGTTTTATTTTAAAAATTGGGAAAATATAATATTTTTTAGTAATGGAATCTATTAGATTATTTAAAAGAGCTATAAAGAGAAGGCAGGAAGAAAGAGAGGCTGTATGACCTTTGGTGAGACCAAGGCCATGCTTGGTCATGGCAAGGGGAAAGTGTGTGGATGGCCAAATGTCTACAGAAGAAGATGAGATCTGGCCCCTTACAAGGGCAGAAATTACTACCACCCCATAGGCCCTCTGTTTGAGAACTGCTTGGCTGGGCCACAATGGAAGCTGGGAAGTGTAGTCTATTAGCAGGAACAGTTAACGAAAATCCGCTTTGTGTTGTTCAATCAGATGGTGACAAAATAGTTGTTTCATTAATTTTGCTGAAATAGAGCCACATGGCTTGGAATAGTGGCTCAGGCTTATAACCCCCAATTTCACAAACTGAGGTGGGAAATTGCAAGTTCAAGGATAGACTAGGGGTATTTAGGGTGGCATGCCACAAAACAAAACATTTCCCAAACCAGATATAAGCATAAAATAGCCTTGATGTCACGCAATCAGACAGAGAAGATACTGTGTTTCCATTTTATCTCTGACCCAACATGTGAAAGAAACCCAACAAGAAATTTGAGATTTGACCTTTTTATTTATTTCTAATCCCTTGCTTTTCAGATCTGCTTGGAAGCATAGAAGAAATCCTTCCCAGCCTCCCTAAACACATTAGTGTTTGGGGAATGAAGGATTCTGTCCCACAGGGTATAGAATTCCTCAAAGAAAAGTTGAGCCTTGCCTCTGATGAGTCAAATAGCCATCACATCACGTCAAGCCTCAAGTCTACTTGCCTATATATTTTTACCTCTGGAACAACAGGTATGTGCATTCTCTCTCTCTCTCTCTCTCTCTCTCTCTCTCTCTCTCTCTCTCTCTCTCTGTGTGTGTGTGTGTGTGTGTGTGTGTGTCTTTTTGTATGTGTGTGTTGTATGTATGGATATATATGCGTCTGCATGCATGTGTGCACATGTGGAAGCCAGAGTAGGATGTCAGGTGACCTCTATTGCTGTGTACCATTTGTTATTATTATTATTATTATTATTATTATTATTATTGTTATTAT